ATACAGAAGCATAAAAAATACGTTCAACTTTCTTACAATAATAATGGTTTCCCTGAAATACATTCATGTGAAATTAATTCACCAAATACAACTCTATTTTCTGTAAGTCGGGAAATATCACTAGCATCCACCACATATATAAGACCATGTATCTAAAAGATGCAAAACGGAGAAACAAGAATATTTAAAACTATATTCTAGAAAATGGGAGATATTACATTTCTATTACACAAAATATACTTCTAATTGAAAATATACTCAGGAATTTCTTATCGATTACTTACACCACTGTAATACTTTGTCCACAATGATCGGATTTGAGGACTACCACCAATATCATAAATTTTGACTGTATAAGACTTATACTTTAAAGACACTGTTCGAAATCCTATTGTAGGTAATACATTCCTATCTGACTCTATAAACATGCATATAATTCATGTTTATTTAAAAAAATTCCAATATATTCATGAATAACATTATAAAATTTGTGATGATTACGTTCTACCAGTTTTAAATAATAATATGTATTACATATAATCATAATTATTATTGTTAACATTTCTACTTACTTCCACGGGCAAAGTAATTTTTCAATTAGTAAAATGATGTCCATTAAGATAATGTAAGAAACATAAATTAAATGGAAAACACATAAATGACAAATATACAATAAAAATACTAGACTATATGTAATTATTCAAAACTGACAGAATCTTCGTGTTTCATAAATATTTTTAGTAAAAAGATGCATTTTCAAAATTCGGAGACGTACCACCGCTTATGCGATTCAAAACGGACGTTTTTCCTGCATTATCTAGGCCGACGATGAGCAAAATAATAGTTCTAAAAAAAAAGATAGTTATTAAATTCATTATTCATATTAATTTTTGTCAAAAAGTTGTTAATAAAATATACATTACTTTTCGGAACATTTCTTGTTTTGTAACCTTTTTAACAAGCTCCGTACACAATTCCCCATTGTAACAAATCGAATTTATACTGTATTTTTAGATATAATTGACTCGTAGTTTGTTATGTTATATTGTATCATATAATTTTGTACATAGAACATTTTTTTAAATGTAAAAGATAACAATTAATCGTCATTGGTAATTTAACGTCATTCACATTAATGAAACGTAATAAACACAACCTCATAGTTTAATAAAGGATAAAATAAGAATAAGTTATCAATTAAAATGTTCTTTTCCTTCTGTATGCGATCATGTGATACATTATAATTAAATTTCAAAATTGAGAATAACTAAGGATGTATAAAGTATGCTTCTAAAATATTAAATATTTTGAGGCAGCTAGTAGCTAGCAGGAGCGTATAACTCTAAACGCCTTCCATTACAACCCTTTGGTTGCTATTGGTTACCAGACAAACTTCCTACATGTTTTACAAATCGTGCATACATCTGTATCATATACACAAAACCTCTAACTCTAACCTCAGTCTCAGCCAGTAGAGATTCATAGAGTTTCTTTACCTTTACGTTAGTAATCATTAATAATCTTCACGTGACTGCACGTGATTTTTCTGTCGATCGATTAGGCCGGTCAAAATATTACATGTTCTGAATGGATGGTGCACTGATTTGAATAAGAATTCGTCCTAAGAAATATTTACTTTGCAACATGGAACATTTTAAACAAAATAATATGGCTAACTACAATTTTGGGCCAACTAAAATTGGCTTCATTGGTGGCGGAAATATGGCAAGTGCTATTGGGAAACCTTTGATTAAAAAGGGTATATATTCTTTCACATTTTATATAACATGAATGAATCGTCTTATTAAAATCATTTATTCAGCAACATTATTTGTTTACAGGCATTGTTAATCCAAACAATGTTTGGGTATCTGCACGTACAAATAGAACTTTGGGTTTTTGGAGTGATATCGGTACTCATACTACATTAAAAAATGGAGAAGTATTTGACAATTGCGATGTCATATTTTTAGCAATGAAACCACACATGCTTGATGATGCGCTTGAGGGTATAAAACTGACAATGGATCGTACACGCAATCCACTTTTTGTCTCTGTACTTGTGGGCATTTCATTAGACACCTTAACTTATGTAAAAACTAAATAATGTTACTAATAGTTCAAAGATCTTAAATGAAATGTTCGTATAACCAACAATGCTTTCAGAAACTCAAAGATATTGTGGAACATCCTCGGATAATTAGATGCCTTCCAAATACTCCACTGATGATTAGTGAAGGAATAACAGGTAAATATGAAGATTGTAAATGTATACATATAGAAAATGATTAAATTGTGAATCTTCATGTAAATTTATATTTTTGTACAAAATAGAGTTGTATATTTTGCATATTTTTATATGTTAAAAAATCAGTAGTTTAATAATGACAATCACTTTATAATATTATTTTATTTTCCAGTATATTGCTCTACGAATACAACAAATGAAGATGAAAAAATGATTCATACATTATTTTCTCATATTGGTGTAGCTGAAAGTATTTCTGAATCTCTTATGAATGCTGTAGGTGGTCTATCAGGTTCTGGTCCTGCTTACGTGAGTTAAATCAAAGTTACATTATTTTAATAATAATGGTAATATAGTATATACTATATATTATTTATTAATTAATTATTATCTATATACAATTATCTATATAGATAATAACATTTACCAAATATGTTTTGAACATACTTACATAACAATATAAATTAAAATTTCTAGGCATATCTTGTCATTGAAGCATTATCAGACGGTGCAGTGAAAATGGGAGTTCCAAGAAACATGGCAACAAAGTTTGCCGCTCAAGTATTAGTAGGAGCTGGTAAAATGGTATTAGAAACTGGTAAACATCCAGGTCAATTGAAGGATGAAGTATGTTCTACAGGAGGTACAACAATTACAGGTGTTCATGCAATGGAATGTGGGCGAGTTAGGCAAGTACATATAGAAATGAGAATAAGAATCTATTATTTATTGAAATCGTGTGTGTAATATCTTGTAAATATATTTATAGAGCATCTATGATGAATGCAGTTGAAGCTGCAGTGAAGAAATCAAATGAATTATCTTCTATAACAGAGAAGAAAATATAGAAAATTGAAGCAGTATATCATTTAAATTATTTTATTTACAATGCATTTTGCAAGCATTTTTAAGTAGACATATTTTCTTTATTAAGAATAGTTTTTTAAATTACCTGAAAATAAGGAATTACAAAGAAAAGAATGATATTACTTAAATAATAATATATATTAATACTTTGAACTTACTTAAATTATGATGCAAGTGTAACAGTGATAGAAATAAACTGAATGTTACAATTACATATTATTAATGTTATGTACTTTACAGTGTATGCATATTCATCCATGTACTTTATCCCTTTGAATATTCTACACAACGTGACGGATCCGTTGGATAATATTCTTGGCATTTAGTCATCAACCTTTTTAATGCTTGAATATATTTTCTTTGGGTTTCGTCATTCATTACGTGTGCCACATTCTTAGAGAAAATTTTTTCTCTTCCAGTACGTGCGTGAATACCAACCATAGTTACTCCGATAGGCCATGGAGAGTTTCCTATAGCCATTTGTAAGTATGCATCACTTGCCTGAAATAAATTGTTTTCATTAAATTTGTTGCACTAAAATCACATATCATTCTCATTTGTCTATTTACCAATATATAATTGCGTTCAAGTAAATGCTTCACTATGTCTGTTAAACTATCAGTGATATCCTCTGGCAAAGATCTATTTTTTAATTTTCTAAGAAGCGGTTTCAGATATTCTCTAGTTTGGGCATAAGTGGCGCTAGCCATTTTTCCTCTAGTACTCATCTTTTCTGCGGTACTCCTACTGTTTAATTGAATACCCCACATCTGTACTAAGAATTGTATGAACTGTGTAATGACATTTAAGTCGAAATCTCTGTCGCCCTTGTTTAATTTAACAGACATCTTTTGCAAATCTTCGTATGTAACTCCCTCATCTGGTACATTCACATCACCTTTTCCATTGCGATCTTGTGGTTTTGAGGAAGCTAATATTTCATTTAAATATGCCTGATCTACTTGATCCATAGCTTCTTGGAAGTCATTCCGGAAACCCTTTAATCCAAAATATATATGTTAATTCATATGTTGCGTTAATATATTATATATTGTATGCTATAGTATAAATATAAACGCATACTTTGTTCACTTCAGGTTCTAGAATTTCACATTTTCTTAACCTCTTGAATGCTTCAATTTCTGACTCTCCAAATATCATTATCGGTTCACCCCTCTCGCGTAACCTTCGAATTACCTCATGCCTAGGTAAAGTTAAGTATTCAGAACTACCGTCCGTTAGACATTCTTCTTGTTGTTGTGCTGTATTCACCTTAATATCCTCGTCATTGTTGCTTTGCACCTCCTTCACTTCTGCATCTTTCAGTACCAAGTCGCTCCTTTTAAAATACTTCCTATTGTTCTGCTGCAATATTGATGATCTTTAATAAATCGAACAAAATATATTCAAATTAACGATATTTTTGCAGAGATTACCAGGACATTGCTTTCTTCTAATTGTTTACGTTTTTTCATTATCTCAGCCTTTAGGATATCCATTTTTGAAAACAATTTCAGCTCATTTTAATCCATATCCAGACCCCGCACAATTGCTTTAGAAGGAGAACGAGAGACGATCGAGAGAGACGGAAAGAAACCAGCGAGCACTATGCATGTGTCAACATAGACGTGAAATCTAGGTTCACTTCACCGTGCTTGCGGTCTCACCCTTTTCGCACGCCTGGCGCTCCATCCGAAACACGTGGCGCGATATTCGACTTGTACTTTTCGCCCAGTAGGATCATTTCTAAAAGTATTAAAATTTTTGAAAACCCGTAAGCTACATTTTAAATAATACTTTCTAGTTTACGAGTCAATCAGTGCTCTACTCTACGAGAAGGATTTTCGAAAGCAACGAATAATTTCGCAATTTTATATGATTTTTACTTTCAAAAGTCGAAACTTACATTCATATCCTCCTAGAAAGACTACACATTTAATTTAGTAATAATCTACAAAAATGTTCAAACACAGAGGTTTAGAGAATTAGAGTTAAGATTGAAGATTGGAACACAATTTACCGGCAAAAGAGATTGAAACAGAATTCGGTGAACAATGCTGCTAAGAAGGGAAACTATTGTATGCTGTGAAGAAGCAACCCTTAGCGGAAAATTAATGAAGATTTATTAATAAAAAAATATAGGGTTATAAATAAATATATATAGTAAATATAATAAATAAATATATAATATTATAATAATATATATAATATATAATATATTATAATTATATATAATATATAATATTATAATAAATAAATATATATAATATAAGGTTAAATATAAATAATATAGGCTTATGTCAAGGTTATTGCCTGATCACATGTCGACAATATCGATTTTGCATTCGCGGTTAGTGTTTCATTACCATTAGGCGCGATGGTCAGTTGATTCAAATATAATCCGATAGTTCTGGTGACGAGTAAATTGTTTAATCAATTACGCAGATTGGCATTCGATGTACAGAAGACAGAGGTCGCAAAAACAATGATGAAAGTTCATAGTTCATTTTTGCGATTCAATAATAGCTTGTTTTCACATAAGATGCTTATTAACTTATGATAAATAAACTGAAACAGCAAAATACGTAGAAAATCGAGAAGTATCTTCGCTGATCTAGAAATAATCATTTCGTGTATCTTCGCAATTCTTAAACAAACATATACTTCATGTGTTCTTTGGCGCGATTTATCATTAAATTAACTTCGCGAATCGTTCGTTGAACTCTGTTTGGACACGGAATTATTGAAACAAAAATATCTTTTGCGGATTTATGATGACCGGAACAGAATTATGTACGAGTTACATTGCTAGTATTTAAAATTAGAGGTGGGTCTTCCGTTTCCATGTTCTGCGTCCATTGTATCAAGATGACAAGATATGTTGTTATCGAACTGACGCACTACAACAGACAAAGATCGAATGATTTAATGTCTTAGAATAGTATAAAATGTTTTACGCATTACGATCGCTTTATGATCAACGAACCTGTCGTGCAAAGTTGAAATTCAAACTGAAGAAATCGAAGTGCGCTTTGCCGATTTGGTTCAATGAGAGCTGCAAAGAGAACTGTAGGATCTAGAAAGAACAATGTAATAAATTCTCCTTAATTGACCCTCAATTTGGAAATCAAAATTTGGGAAGAGGAGGTACAATTGAGGCGTTTATTTTGAAAGTGGCATAAGTCACTTTACCGTAATGAAAAGTGGTGATTTTTTAATGTTTATACGAAATTATTTAGACCGAGAAAAATATCAGTATCCTGAGATAACAAATACAAGTAAATCTTCTCGAAAGTTAGCATCCATATTTTTAAACGTGTTAAAACGCAAACCCTTAAATATATCGACTTAAAAACAAAGTGACTTATGCCACTTTCAAAATAAATGGCTCAATTATTCGAGCCTTGCTGCTCGTTTTTGTAGTTGTCAACACCTGGTGTGTGTGTGTGTTAGAGAGAGAGAGAGAGAGAGAGAGAGAGAGAGAACGAAACTTCTCACCTCGTCCTTCAATTCCGTGTCAAAATCGGAGATGGAGCACTGGTGGATGATCTCGACTATTTTTCTCATCTGTAAATCAGCATTGCAAATCAATCATAGATTGCAAATCGAATTACGAATGCATTGAACATTTTGTCTACGTTCGTTGTTTTCTGATGGAAGAGCTAAATTCTAATTTAATTAGCGAAACAAATTCTTGGTACAGTTCGTACTTACAAAGGCAAATGAGTGATGGTTCTTAACTGAAAGCGATTATATAAATAAATAAATAATTATATAAACGAACAACACAGGGTGATTCACTTGAATTGAACAACTAACTTTTTTCTGTTACTACGAAAGGTATGAAAAAAATGGTAACGATAATCGTCATTTAGTACAGTAACAAATTAATAGTTCACCTCTTTGGCGGTGTATTCGCAGACGTGGCTCACTACAAAGATCTTCACCCATACGTAAAGGCAATCTATCACCTTAATTAGACCTGTGCCGATCACAAACAGGGTCATATTGGAATTTTGGAATTGTACGTAGACGAAGAACAGAATCCCGACAAGATTTATGATAGCCATAAAAGAGTGACAGCCAAGTTGCGAGTCGAACACGCTGTTTACCGCTTTCATGATTCCGCACAGGTGTAAGTGGACGCATCTTTGGGAACAGAATTATTGTCGTTCTAATTACTTTGAAATCCATGGTAAATAAAGAATAATATGACGACGTAGAAGCAAATATGATAAATGTTCGAAAGAAGCACAAGAAACTTGATGTAAACCGTGTAAAAGAAAACTTGGAACACCGGGAAACAGTAACAAGATTTTAAACAACGGAGAAACGAATATACAGAACTTTAGAATGGTGAATTGTAATTAACTGTTTAAACTAATACCTGATTTCATGAAGCGTATGAACTTTTTTCACCGCCTGCAGTTTCTGCTTCACGCTGGGAAATTTTCTGAATGGGGCAACTTGTGTTCGACGCACGGAATACTGGGGCGTCCATTTGTTTAAACATTTTTTAACAGTTTCTCGATTTGTTCTAGCTTCAGCGGTATCCATCGCGTTTATCTGACGACCGTCGACCAGGAATTTCCTCAAGAGTTCGTTCGTTTGCTTGAAGCTGCATCTCAACCAGCTGGTACATGAAAATTTACGGAAAATATTCGTATGTAATACTAGCAAGACATTCTAAAATAAGGGTAAACAGGGTTCTTCTTAAAAATATTACTGTCACGTAGTAAAAACAAATTCGGAAAGTTCACGCTCCGTGACTTGTTCATCGCTTCGAACGCGGCTCGAAGCTGTCGCGCTCCGCGGCCGCTCCCGCGTGCCGCTCGTTCGATCGTTAATAACTCGCGAACGAAGCCGCGGTTTGCATTTTCGCTAAGGAAAAAGTTACTTCAAATCACCTCAGGAACCTCCCATTACCCGGAAATACGATAATTTTGGGACTTGATCTCATCTCTAGTGATATATTGGGTTGGCAACTAAGTAATTGCCGATTTGTTCAATGAAATAAAAAATTTTTTTTACTTGGAACGAAGTTTAATCTGTAATGTATTTTCCATTTTGTTCGATGACCTTTTGCCATCTCTCTGACAACTTGAATATTCCACGCTCGTAGAAAGTCTGATCCTTTTCGGCCAAAAACTGAGTTAAGCGAGATTTTACAGCGTCATCATCGTTAAAAGTTTTACCACGAAGGGAGTTGTCCAGGGATCGAAATAAATGGTAATCCGATGGTGCGAGATCAGGGCTATATGGTGGGTGTAACATCAATTCCCAACCAATATCCATCAATTTTTGCCGAGTGGACAAAGACGTG